AACAGAGAGAGAGAAAGAAAGAAAGAAAGAAAAAGGACCGTGTTTCTCCTGTGAAATGGCACAATTCTCGTTTCTCAAAATAGAGAAAAAACAAAAAAAACAAAACAAAACAAAAGACCTTCTTTAAGTACTCTAAGCATTTCCTCCAGAGCTTTCCGTTTATCCACCACATTCCGTAGACCATAGCCCATTGTAATGGCATCAAAGTAACCGTCAGAAAATGGCAAATTTAGGGCATCACCTTCCACCCACCTTCATTTTGGCAGCAGCAGTATTAGGACGATGATTCAACAAGCAATTACAAATAGCAGAAATCGTAATTCTTACTACAGAAATACTATATCGTCATAGTTTGATATGTATGAGATAAATATGGAGTGGAATACTAAAGAATTTCCCAAATTGAACAGGCTAACATATTTGCTGTTCAAGTTTACCAATGCTCACTCAATGTTCTTATAGCAGGCTTTGGAGAGCGAACGTTGACGAGAGGATGCAATAATCAGCTGCTCCCTTGAGAAATCAAGACCTGTCACCTGTGCCAAAGAATTGAATGATGAGATACAATTATCTTCAGTATTGGTACAAAAACAAACCGGTGGGGGTACCTTGCCATCGGATCCAAGTCTCTCAGATAAGAGGAACGCCAAATCGCCGCTTCCACAGCATATATCCAGCACACGATCTCCAGGTTTAGCACTGTTCGCAATGTGGGAAAGTTAAAAAATAAATAAGATAAGGCAATCCGGGAACAGAAAAGAAGGATACGTTACATACCCGCTCCAGGACACGGCCATTCGTTTCCAAATGCGATGCTGACCCAAACTGAGTAAGTCGTTCAACTAAATTGGAAGCAGAAAGAAAGGTAAGAAGTTGGAGAAGGGAAAGGGAAATAGGGAAGTATTAAGGGAGGAAGAGAGAGATGAAATTAAGCGGACGTTATCATAAACAGGCGCAATACGGTTGAACAATGCCTGGCGATCGGCGGCGCATCGAATCGGACGGTGAGTTTGAAGAGTTGGAGTGGTAGAAGAAGGCAGACGGAGTTGGAGTTGGAGGGAGGAAGCCATGCATATGCAGATGAGATGACCCTAAGCGCAACGCAACCTACTTTTCCACTGGACTCGGTTTCACACTTGCCTCATCTCATCCTACTTTTCCACTTTACATTTACTTTTCATTTGCCTTCCTTCCAAATAATAAAAAAGAAAATGACCAAATAAATCACTGCTTTAATTACCTTGCCCATCTTTAAAAAAATACCTCAAACAAACTAATTATAAAAATGTCTTATACACTGAATTATTCTTTAATTAGCAACTATAATTCAACCCTCCTCATGTTTGAATCCATCTCCTATGTTAACGTTATTGTGTGTGATGTAATATCAAGATGATAATAATAATCAAGGTAAAGTGTTTAGGTAAATTTTATTGCATTTATTTATTTATTGACTTATTTTAATATTCGAAAAGTAATACATTAAAGACACATCTTCGTAAATAAGTTTTTGACAAACAGAGTTTTTCTTTCTTTTTCTTTTTTTTTTTCTTTTTTTCCTGTCAGACCTCAGCAAGAAAGTATCGTTGAATGTTTGTATTTAGCGTTTTGATTTGGATGAAGAAAACGGAGATGTTTCCAGGAGATAGGCGTAGGCTTGCCAATGTTATGGTGACGGAAAAGTAGGATAAAAGTAAAACTTGATACGATACCAGAAACTTCTTCCATCCAAACCTTGATTAGACATGCAGAAAAGAATACGTACGAGACAGAAGAAATCATCCCAACTTCTATTAACATTTTCATAATCAATGTTAATCATTCATTTCAGAAATATACAAGAGTGATGCAGATGTATAGATATCTTCCCACCCACCCAACTGATAAACAATTTAATCTCACAGTCTGCTTTTGGCGATATATGATATAAACTATTGACTTGGCAGTGGCAGTGGCAGTGGCAGAGTGTGTATATACCCATTTCCATAACGTATACCTCATCCTCAAGAGTCGAGACTACCGCAAAATTGTTCAGGCAGATTGTCCACAGTTGCCAATTGCATGCTTTCAGAAGGCTTCCAGTGCCGCTTACGTTGGTTAATAAACCAATTGTTAATTTGCTTGGGATCTAGTCCCGTTGTCTCTGCCAGCGCAATTTTATCAGCTTCCTGGATGGTTGACAAAGAAACACATCATTAATCAAATACTGTTGCATTCTAGCTCTACGGACCAATATCTTTGATGCTTCAGGTTCACTGCCTATAGAAATAAATTATCATGACACTATCCTACTTTAAAATCCAATACAATGATAAATCATGACCACTAAGCACTTACTTAGGTCAGAAGTTGTAAAAATTGGACACATCAAAATAGTTGCAAATACATGTCTGCGTGGACTAAAAACATTAATAGATGGTTTCCGTCACTGCATTCACTTGCTGGTGGAAAAAGAAAATGTACCGTAGGATATGGCCATTTATAGTGAACATTCCACCACTCGTGCAGTACTTTCCTTCCTTCTTTAGGTAGTTTTCCTTTCTTCTTCTTCTTTGAAAACTCCAACTTCAAGGTTCCAATGTGGCTGCCAAATCTACTTAAGAGCATATCTTTAAGACTTTTGTCTTCTAAACTCATTTGAGCACCTTGTAATTCCCTCTCTCCCCAATTAAGCTCATCATCCGATGACATAGCATCCTCATCTGCCCAAATCCATGCACAACACAAAGGGGAATTTTTAGCCAGACATACATCAAACGGATGAATTGGTAAAAGACAGCCAAAATTTTGTCCAGTGATGCAACCAACAAAAAGACTGATACAGTAAAAAAGCATAGTAATTAGTATGTAAACTACATCCCATGGATCTACACAGAAGTAAAAAGACATAGTCTAGGCAGAATCACCATGTGATTTAGGATAGGGGTTTTATTTATAGCAGCAACCTCAACACAAAGATTCAAGAAGATTAAGATATTCGATGGCCATTTCAAAAGACCAAGTAGCCACTAGAAATGTAGATAGAGTACTCAAGTGGCCCATCTGGCCCAAAAGGAACATATCCACTAATCTGGATTATATCCATACTGGACCAATCAAGCATTTCACATCCATTGATTTTCCATTATTACTTGTGAAACCATCCAGATTTCCGCTGAACCAAAGCCATGTCCTCTTCAAGCATCTCTTTCTTCGAAGTGTACCAAGGACAGGATTTTAAAATGGCATAGCATATGACAAAGAAAACACTTCTTGGACTTATTCTTTGTCTTAGACTATTCTTTGTCTTAGACCTCAATCTTGTTACATTTATTTACCCTTATAACCACTTTTCTCCACTCTCCGTATAGCAATCAAGGCATCATGATCGCTCTTTCTCATCTCTGTTGCGAACTCCAAATCTTTCAATCTCAGGGCACTCATAATATCTAGGTATGCCTCTCTCCCATACTTAACATGATCCTTTACTTCACAAAAAGATTTAGATACAGTGTATAGAATGATTACCACCTCATTTTCATCTTACAATTTTCTTCGCCATTTGCAAGGGTACCAGTATGATTTTGTGAAATTCAATCAAAATTCTCTTCTAAGTTTCTTCTGCTAGATCCATCTCAAAACAAAACAATCTGTCCATGATTCAATAATCAAACCTAAGTTTGAACTAATTCAATCGGGAAATCTGTCTCTTTAAGACACATCTTGTTGGTTAATGATCCTGAAAGCTGGAAACCCAAGTTTGTCCAATGGTTTCATTCATTGTTTTCACACCATTCACTTGCATTAACACGTTATCTGAAACTGCAGAATGATCGAGCGGTATGTTGTCTCTATAATATCTGCCTTCTGATCTTCAGTAAACGTAGTAGGCCAAGTCTGCAGATCATCTGGCGTTCTCGAAAACCTCTTCTCCAAAAAAAGCGCTCATATTTTATTTCAGGCGAGAAGTCGCCTTTTCTGTTGAAACTCTCTACTTCAGATTTCACACAAATTGAATTGTACTTGAAGTACATTACCAACATTCTGACTTTTGAACCAAATCTTCAAAACAAATCCATCTTCAATGTAACAAATATTCACAATCTAACACCACTATTAAAGCTTCTACAGCAGTCACAAATAACAACCAAGAATACGCTAACAAATGCAATGAAGACTGGAAAGGGAGATGCAAGACGAGTATGAACCCCAAGGCTTAAGAATGGTTTGACAGAAAAACTGGTGGGCATCCACTATAGGTATCTTGGTTCTATTTTACTATTTAGTTGACCATTTACAGGTCATGAATTGCCATTTATTATGAGAAGCGATCTAACATGGGTGTGCATCCACGATGAACTTTCTCACTCCACTAGTATCATTCTTCACCAATATTACTGTCATTCTCTCCAACAAACCAATCACTATCAACGCCAACAGGTGAGAGAGAGGATAGATAACACCATTACAAAGAGATGCAAGGATGGTGTTGCTGGTTTCATTCTAGTATCTGTATATGATTTCTTCATTGATTTTCTTCCTCAAGGCTATTTAAATTATAGTATAATAGTCAAGTGAGTTTCAGTTAAAAAGAGTTGGGGGAAAAAGTCATTATTTATCTAGTAAAGGGGATTAAGTGACTT